GCAATACACTTAATTTCCACAGCCACTTTAAATTAAACACACGCTATAATTCACAACGAACGATTCACGCGCTTTACTTACGTCACTACCACGCTTGACTCAATTGTCCGTCTGCAATTCTATATCGATTCATTGTCTGGCGCACTTATATACAAGAATACCGCACATCTAGCAAACACTCGAGCATTCACGAACCTTCGAGAATATCATGACGTGTTACTAGAGTCACGTGACTTCCGCTGTCGTAACAATATTAAGTCAAACGACAGTACCAACAACGGTGACATCATCATTCAACTAAACCTATAATGATAAGCCTATAAGATAGTACCAGTATTAATGACATCACCACGTTCAACTAACCCTGAATGTGAACCTGTTTAGAATTAGTGAATTTTTCGGAGAATAAAATGCTACAGCACTGTTATTTAACTCCTCAATACTTCTAATCTTATTGTCCACAAATTATGATGCAACGTTTTATCAATTTAAGCCTTTTATCCTTGGTTTCTTACAAATTCGACCATTAGTATATCGTATTACTTTAATTTAGATAATTTACTAAATTGAATGACAAAAAAAGTAGTTTCTTACTTAAAATTTTACTTAAATGAACTTAAGAGAAATATAATAATTCGAAAATTGAGTGATATACTTCTGTTAATGTTCTAGTCTTTAAAATCGGCCATGAAACACCTTCATTAAAACATAGAGGGCGTCACTGACATATTAGTAATTTTCTAATTAATGTAGCATTATAGAAGATGATTGGTAATAATATAGAAGTTGCTCAAGAGAGGGGGCTTTAAGCACAAATGTTTTGGCTGATGTACAATCTTTGGTTTAATGTTATAGAATCTAATAATATTTATAAATTAGGGCATTTCATAACATAAAACTCAGACTTAAAAAGCGCATAAGAGCAATACTTTAAAAATCACTCAGATAAAGAGCAATTAGTTTTCATTATGTGCTCTTTATGATCGGCTCAAATCACACATCATTTGTGTTACTAGAAAAAATAACGTTTATATCACTAGGTTTGTATTATAGTTAACGTGACTCTATGTTCAGGATGACACAGTTTTTACAAAATAACACATTTGTTTTGTTTTTTCGTTTTTTAATTTGCAGGATAAAGTTCTTTTTTTTTAAGTATATTGAGAACTACACTTGAAAAAAAAACGAGAACACACAACAAAATAGTTTATTTCAATTCTCAGTTTCCATTAGTCGATCAGGCATTAAGTAGATGTTATTGTTACACGAAACCTGCTTTTGTACTTCTTCTTACATATATAAAATAATATTTTTTAATATTAAATACATCAGTTTAGTTCAGACCTCATTAATGCTTTTAATCCTTTAATATAAAATACGTCGACTCGCCATGTACTTATACAGTATTTCATTTTAGTTCTACCTCACCTGAGGTTATTAGTGATATTGTCTAATAAATGTGTGGTTTACTGAATATATAATTCATATAGCACTGTCCCTTACAGAATTACTTTAAATCTATCAGGATTACCTTACACTTATAAAAATACTGTTTACATAACAACCAAACAACTTACTGAAAAAACTTTTGATGTACAAATGATAAAGAATATGGGTAAACTATCTGTGTTTATTTATTTTAAAAATGAGTATAAATTTAACCTCTTTATATTATGTTTGTTGTCATTACTAATATTTGATATTAATAAAATCATTTGAACAAGAAATAGTTCCCTTTCATTTTGAAAACTTCGAGATCTAGAAAGACTTGAGGACTTGTCCCGGATTCAATTTCATTTGAATTTTTAACCGTTCCATGAACGTCTAGAGAATCGAAACAAGGCCTCCACAATACATTCAAGTAAACTTATTTCTAATTAATTTTAATAGTGCTAAGCCTTAATTATATATATAAGTGAACACGGAAAGAAAGTTTCATCAGTTTAGTCTCCCCACCGTCTGACACTTGAATTGGATCATAGAAACAGCGTTTTTATCACTCTAGCTCAAATACATACCTAGTTCATACTTTCTCATGGCAACCAAAGAAACTTTCTATGGCTCTCAATTTTCTTTTACTGTCCATCTTGCATCTTGACAACCCTTTGGACTAGCAATGGTTCCTTTCCGTTTAAATTCTTGTTACAGGCGGTAAAAAGTTACCAGTTAGAATAAAGTACAGAAATCCAAACTTTTGGTAGTCTGCAGAATAAAACTAAAGTTTAAATATTCAAATATCAGTATATTCAGTGGATGATCAAATGGCAACTATCGAATATATCACTTCATTGCAGACATCATAAACTTTATTCTTCTAAATATAGTTTAAGGCATATAGAGATTTGGTTGTTCCGTCCAAGCTGTAATTTCCTATTTTAAATAAAAAGGTTATTTAATTAAAACACAGTTTATTTAATCTGCTTTCAAAGTTGATGCTGATAGAACAGCAATTAACCTGTATAAGAACATTTAAAATGTTTTCATGCTACCAAGAACTAAATAAAAAATGAATATTTGAGCATCTTCTATTAAACTGGTAATTCTTCCAAAGTTGTAATTTTTCACCCAGCAGACGTCTTATCGATGAAGACGACGAGTTGTCAGAAGTTCAACCTGATGCTGTACCAAACGAAGTACGTGATTGGTTGGCGTCGACTTTCACCCGCCAAGCGGCGGCGCAGAGAAGACGATCCGAAGATAAGCCTCGTTTCAGATCTGTAGCCAATGCTATCCGAGCCGGAATCATGGTTGATAAGTAAGTGCCTCTATCTGATGGTGAGCTTAATAACAAATACAAAACATTACGGTATTAAAATCAGAAAACCATGATTTTACAATTTGTCAATTATTATAATTAAAAGTAAAATATGAGTAGTGGCTCTATCTAGCTTTTTTTTTTTTGTGAAGTAGTTTGTTACACTTTTGGAACATTGTATAGTAATAATGTAATATTAATACTAAACTTTTGAAGTTATGATAATTTATATGATTCTTTATAGAAAGTTTCTGCAATCAAATCAAACTGTTTTCTTTTATTAAAAACATAAAGTTGGTTTAGGTGATGCGGATACTCAGTAAACTTGGTTGCTACCGGACTTTTATATCTTAATAAAAACCTCTTCAAGGGGACTTACACCTATTGCACATTTGTTAAAAAATATATCGAAAATGACGACCTTTTATATCAATTATCATGAACATTTATATTAAAGCAAAGGTATTAGTTAGAAAAATACCTGAATCCGTTTGCATATCAGAATGGGTTATACACATTAAAAACATTTGTACAAAATTATAAACTTTAGGACTGAAGTAGTGACGTGCTGTGGCTTTCATTTCGTATATTTAAACTCTACCAAAAATCATGTGGATTTTGATTTTTGTATTACTCACGACTGGATATTTAATTGTACTGCATTAAATAAGCCAGTTGTAAGATATCAAACGGTAATATAAATGCAATGTAAATAAACTCCGACCTTTATCTTCCAAATATAATTTTATTCCTCAATACTTCGCTATTACAGCTTCGTCAGGAGTAAACAATCACCTTCAAGTTCTCACCTTGTAGGTGATTGTTTACTCCTGACGAAGCTGTAATAGCGAAATACTGAGGAATACAATTATATTCTGGTGATAAAGGTCGGAGTTTATTTGCATTAATAAATATGTCTAGTAAGATACTCCAGTTTGCGTTAAAAAAACTTAAGAATAAATGCAATGTGTGTGTTTGTGTGTGCGTGCTCTATTCTACACACAAAAGTACTGAGAAAGAACCCAGGAATACCAAGTCAACCATTTAGGCCTCATTTAATTAGAAGGGTACCCACCTTTGGCGTTAATCAAGACTTGGGCTCTTGTGGCTCTGTCGTTTCTTGACCATCAGATGGCACTGCCAAACTTTCTATGATGGGACTCTGTATTTGTCAAGACAGATTTATGACCTTATTTGTTTTAAACCACTTCTGTGCATGGTACATTATTGTTACGAAAGAATCATGGTCCTTTCCAAGATTATTCAATCATTTCAAGCTTTATGATATTGCCCACATTTTACAACACGACTAGGCATTCATGGTTCTCTTAAATACCACCTGTGGACCAAGTCCGAACCACAAGAAACTGACCAATACCTTGATACTACCCCCCAAAGACGCTATTTACGGTTATAATGGCGCACTTGTATCCAAAACATCTTCCAGGTTTATATCAAACTCAAGCATATCCAACTGAAACAAACAGTGAATAGAAGGAATTAATATTAAGCCTGTTATATATTTTCAACACTGCATTCTTTATCTAGTCCCTTAGGGATTTTCAAGACTTAAAAGAGTGAACAATAATAACATTCCAACCAAACTATGTTCGTCTGAAAAAAAAGTTCACAAAATAACAAGTGACTAGAATGATTCATCTTTCCATGTAATTGTTTCTCAATGTGTCTTAAACCGATTTCGATTTTCGGGGCACATGAGAGCCGAAACCTTGGAATTATGGTTGTGATGAATGGCTTATAGGCTATATACGAGATTAATGCTAGGTGTAAGGTTTCCTTTCACAACAAACTTCAAAGATTGTACAAGCAGAGGATTGAATAACTTTGGGTGGCAGGGCCGCTATTCCACATACTCACATCCATTAGGCTTGAATAGCTATTTCATTAATGCATTACCCGCAATATACCTGGACATAAGTACCGTATTTTTCGGTGTATAAGACGCACATTTTTACCCCAAAATTTGATGTCAAAATCTGCTTGTGTCCTATACACCGAAGGTATGAATAATATATATCTATATATACGATATACACAAGCCATGTGTAAATATAATTAAATAGGCACGCATAGTTTAGTTCAATTGAATGTGTTATTTATAACAATAGTAGTTTTTCTCTTTTAAAAACATAACTATTTATAATGCTCCCTAAATAATAATAAAATAAATTATAATAATGGATGAGAGTGAAAAATCTGTTAAATACACGCCGATCCCTGTTTAATGTGGAGCAGAATAAGGCCGTTTCAGGCCTAACTTTAACAAATAAAAAATCGTTTTTGAGTGCTTGCCTTGGATTCAAATGTGCAATGCACTTGACCAATCAGAGCGCTTAATGCAATTAGCGTCGGTAATCGCCTAATCAGTATTTCAATTTTCATTTGATACTCAGCAGGCTGGCACGTGCTTACCTGTCAAGATGGATGCGTCACCGAAAACCAAAGTACCGTATCTTAGGCCTCGGGAGTAAAATAGTTATTTCTTCATTTTTCGTTTTATTTTTTCAGCCCTTACGATGTCTAAAGAAAAGAGACTGTCATACACAGCTAAATTTAAATTAAGTGTGATTAATTATGCAAAATAGCATGGAAACAGAGCTGCCGAAAGATATTTTGGTCCTCCACCAACAGAAAAAAATGATTCGTTGCTGACGCGAACAAGAAGAAGAATTGAAAATGATTAAAAGTGATAAACGTAATTTTCGAGGAAAAAAACAAACAAAGGATCTCGAAAATAAACTGTAAAAATGGGTTGTGGATCACAGAAGGCAAGGACTATCCGTTTCTACAAATATGCTAATTTTTAAAGCAAAGAGGGTTGCATGTGATAATAGATTAGAAGAATTTACTGGTCATACATCGTGGTGTTATCGGTTCATGAAACGCAAAGGCCTAGTTATGAGAACAAAAACAAAAATTGCTCAAAGAATGCCCGATGAGTTTGAGGTGAAAATTTGTGCTTTTCACAAGTATATTATACAGTTAAGAAAAAAAACTCCATTTGAATTGTCTCAAATAGCAAACATGGATGAAACACCCTTAACATTTGATGTTCCAAGCAATAGAACAACTCATATAAAAGGTACTAAAACTATTACTGTTAAGACTAATGGACACGAAAAAAAGCATTATACAGTGGTGCTAGCATGTGGTGCAGATGGAACAAAATTACCACCAATGTTAATTTTTAAAAGAAAAACAATGCCCAAAGAAAATTTACCCAGTGGTGTCTATGTTCACGTACACAAAAAAGGATGGATGAATGAAGACGGAACACTACTTTGCTTTGAAAAACATTGGTCGAAACGTCCAGGAGGCTTATTAAAAAAGTCTTCTCTCCTCGTCTGAGATTCCTTTAGAGCTCATAAAACGGAAAAAATAAAGGAAAAAGCTAATGAGCTAAAAACACAGCTGGGTGTTATACCCGGCGGTTTAACAAATCAACTGCAACCTCTCGATGTTTCTATTAACAAACCCTTTAAGACTTTAATAAAAGAGGAATGGAACAACTGGATGCAGCAGGAAGATTTTACTACGACCCCTACAGGACGAAGGAAGAGACCGACGCTTGCTCAGGTCTACATGTGGGTGAAGAAATCGTGGGAAAAAGTAAGAAGTGATATAGTGATTAAGTCATTTAAGAAATGTGGTATCAGCAACGTAATGGATGGGACCGAGAATGACATTCTCTTTGACCATAATATTGGATCAAATAATTCCTTTCCAAGCGACAATGAAAGCAATGAAGATTTTGTAGGTTTTGAACCAAACTAAATAGCAGTAAACCTTTTTTTATTT